AACCACATTTTAACATCTTTAGTACTTGGGTCCTGCTCCTGAAGAGTGACTCCAACTCCTGGCTGGAGCCTGAAAAAAGCCTCATTCAGTCTGACACAGCCAGAGGAAAGAGCCAGAGACGGGTGAAGGGGAGGGACTCCGGCTCCCATGATGCACTCGGAGATGGGGGGGGGGGGGGGGGGGGATGCAGCTGCTGCAACTCAAGCCTCCTGTCCCTGAGTGCATGTGTGCCTGCTCTGCAGCCTGCCCCGCACCTTCGCCACCATCAGCCCGTCCAGCCCCATGACTTACAGCCTGTGAAAGGCCTGGGCCTGCGGGGCCATAGGAGCAGCGGTCTGGGCAGCAAATTGTGGAGAAGAACCAGGTGCTCAGTGGCAGAGGCAGGGGTGGAAGGAGAGAGCCAGCCAGGTAGGCAGCAGGTCGGGGCGCGGCGCGGCACTGCTTGGGACTGGGCTCACGCCACCATCAGCCCGTCCAGCCCCATGACTTACAGCCTGTGAAAGGCCTGGGCCTGCGGGGCCATAGGAGCAGCGGTCTGGGCAGCAAATTGTGGAGAAGAACCAGGTGCTCAGTGGCAGAGGCAGGGGTGGAAGGAGAGAGCCAGCCAGGTAGGCAGCAGGTCGGGGCGCGGCGCGGCACTGCTTGGGACTGGGCTCACTGGAGGAGGAATTGCTCTGCATACTGATGGGGGTGGGGAATAAGGTCCTTTGTAAATTCTGGAGTGTGAGAATGGGATGCTAGATCAAGCGGGTAGCTGGCAATAGACTGGCTATTTTGTAGGTGGATCTTGTCAGCATGGGATGGGTCTCTGAGAAAAGGCCTTTGCCTCTATAAGAGGCACAATATGCTTGGGGGTGTCCTTTGGGCCCTCTCAAGGAATTGTCTGGTATTCTGGAGTCTTCCTGAAATACGGTAACTGTCTGGAGAGCATCTTGCCTATAACCAGAGTAGGGATGTGAAAGGCTTATTTATTTTATTTATTTAAATATTTTTACCCCACCTTTCTATTTAAAATATTCAAGGCGGCTTACAAGAACAAACCAAAAAAAAAATTACAAATATATAAAATTTAAAATATGAGATTTTAAAATGAGACCTTAGAGGGACATAACCAGCTAAAAACATATAGGCTATGTCTACACTCACGGCTTCTTGCACGAGCAATATGCAAATGAGGCTAAGCGTGGAATATCGCCGAGCCTCATTTACATACCTAATGAGCCACCATTTTTTTCAGAAGAGGCTCTTGCGCAAGAAGGAGTGTCTACTCTGCCCCTTCTTGCGCAAGAAAAACCCTCTTGAGCAATACCGTTACACCTATTATTTTTCAGGAAGAACGGCATTGCGCAAAAGGGTTTTTCTTGCACAAGAAGGGGCAGTGTAGACGCTCCTTGTGCAAGAGCCTCTTCTGAAAAAAAAATGGTGGCTCATTAGGTATGCAAATGAGGCTCTGCGATATTCCACGCCTAGCCTCATTTGGATATTACTCGCGCAAGAAGCCGCGAGTGTAGACATAGCCATAGAGAGGAGGAACACACACATAGAGACTCAAACATTAATAAAAAAGCACGAGTAAAAAGGGTGGCTTTAGCCTGATGCCAAAAAAACGCTAGCGTTGGTGCCATGCAGATATCCCGAGGAAGAGAATTCCATAGCCTGGGAACAAAAGCTGAGAGTGCCCTGTTCTGTGTAGATGTTAATCTTGTCTCCACAAGTGGGGGAACACAAAGCAAAGCCTCCCCAGCTGACCTCAATCCCCAGGCAGGTTTATATTGGAGAAGACGGTCCTTCAGATACCCCAGACCCAATTCATTTAAGGCTTTATAGGTCATAACTAAAACCTTAAATTCCTCTTCGAGTGGTCCCCGTGGGTGCTCCACTCATGGTGTTGGGTTTGTCCCGGTGCCGCAGCTCGGAGGCTTTGCATAGCTGTTTTCAGCAGTGTGTGCCTGCACAGAATACAGCTCGTGCCGTTCGCGCCCTTTGATCTTCGGGCACACCTGGCTTCCCTGTCAGTTCCTCTCAACCGTCCCTGGACACAGACGGAGCTTCTAGTCTCTCTCCTCACAGCAGTTCTCCTTCCCTCGGGAACCTGCAATTAGTTAATTGTATATAGTTAGCTTCCTTTGTTGCCTGTTTTATCTTATCTACAAAACAAACAAACAAAAAGGACTCCTGTTAACATCTCGTTAAAGCCGCGGCTCCCTGCTGTTACGAGCCGGGGATCAGCTGCAGAGTATAAATAAATAAATTAAATTAAAATAAAAACCTTGTTCTGTGGGAAGACACTGATTAACAGTCATGCCTGGATCTCCAGGTTTTAAAAAATGTGCCCACTGCAGTGAGCCAATGCCAATTTCTGATGGACATTCATGTTGCCTGGGGGAGAGCCACACTCCCCATAAGTGCGGGCACTGTTCAAAAATGACAGCCCGTACTCGTCGTGACAGGGAGATGTGGCTAAAGATGTTCCTCTTTGATAAGGCACTGGACCCCAATGTGGGAACTCCTGAGCAACGGGGGAGAACCCCTAAGAGAAGAATCTCTTCCCCTGATTTGCGGGAGAAAAAGAAAAAAAACTCCCCAGCCAGATCCCTTTCACCTGAAATAATGGTGGTGGGCAAACACGGATCTTCTGGCTCTGTCCCGCGATCCTCACCATCTGGTTCGGGGACAAAGGGAAGGAAGGCTGCAGCACCCGAGAGACTGTATTCTGGGCCAGAAGCAGCCTCGGTGCCGGCAAGCGTAGCCTATCTGAAAAAGGTGCCGGCACCGCACCGCTCCTCTTCAAAAGCCAAGGACAAAGCCGCGTGGGCAGCGGCAGCACCGCAAAAAGCTCTCCCGGTACTGGCAACTGAACTGGCAGCGTTGCTGGTGCTGAAGGCAGCTGTGGCGCGGACAAGCTGCGCGCACACTTTGAATGCGCCGGCACTGCTTTCTTTTCCCCAGCAAGTGGCTACACAGCAGTACACTATCGCGGATATGCCTCCAGCACCGGAGGGAACCCCTCCGGCACCGGCATCTCGCCAATCAATGTTGCAGGTGCTACGTGGTGCTTCTCAATTACAACCAGCTCTGGCACCGGTATATACAACGCAGCAACAGCTGACTGACGCACCGGAGCAGGAGCCAGAGACGCAGCCCCAAGCAGCGGCACCATTCATAGCACGGGGACAGGATACTCACCTTTCTCCTTCCACGAGATTTTCACCGGGTCCCTCTCTTTCTCCTACGGTGTATGGCTCACCTTCACACCATGGCGACAGGTACCACAGCCCCAGGCATCATACCTATTATACATGGGATTCTCCATATGGGCACCTTCATTGCGGGGGCTATTATAGACACCCATCCTACTCTCCACCATATGGACGGTCGTATTACTACTCTCCGTGCATCAGGCACAAGAGACAGCATAACAGCAATAGATCGTCCAGGTGTTCGTCTCCTCATCCATCAAATCAGTATTACGAGTACCACTGCTCTTCTCCGTACTCATCACGCCCACATTCCTATCACTGGGTATCAACAGTCCTCACGCTACAACCCACCATCAACGAGGCACTCTCCCCTATCAAAGACAACAACATCAACAGCGAGCCATAGACCAATCACATCAAAGGCAGCACCCGCAACGTAGAAGAACCCAACCATTCCGTTCAAACAACCAGCAAAATCCCAAACAGCAAGTTTGATGGTTCAGTTGAGGGCATGCAACAACTCCTTACTGTGACCGTCACCTGGCGACCCCTTCACGCAGCAGTCAGACCTGGAAGAGGGTCAATTGTCTGAAGAGGACGACCATCAGTCTGAAAACCCAGTTCCTGACGGTTCACCCGTGTCTTCTCATGGGGTGGTTTTCCCACCGGACACGTCCCCACCAGATGATTTTAAGCAATTCCAAGACCTATTCAAGCGCGTGGCTCAATCCCAAGAAATACAGATAACAGTCACAAATGAAACAACATTGACTGCT